TCTCCCCAGATGTAAAAAATGTTGATCTAACTACAGAAAGTGGGACATCTCCCCAGATGTAAAAAATGTTGATCTAACTACAGAAAGTGGGACATCTCCCCAGATGTAAAAAATGTTGATCTAACTACAGAAAGTGGGACATCTCCCCAGATGTAAAAAATGTTGATCTAACTACAGAAAGTGGGACATCTCCCCAGATGTAAAAAATGTTGATCTAACTACAGAAAGTGGGACATCTCATCAAATACAATGTGAACTGATGAGGATCTGTTGGCTACATGTTGGTGTCCAAGCTGTTTTTGATACTCTCAAAGCCATTTTATCAAGACAGAAAGTCTGTACTGAAAGAACGGAGGGGTCTTAGATTGGTGTTTGCAACCAACCATGATGTCTTTGATAGATTTGACAAGCTATAGACTTTGAGAAATGTTTGCATATTTGCCTGTACAAAGTATTTACTACAGATGAGATTGTGAGACAGTGTTCCTCTGTTTAGGTGTCTGCTTGTGTCAAGCCAATTATGGTGGCAGTGACTGTTTCGTGAATGTGATCCTGTTGGTGATAGATTAGAATGTTGTTCACAGTGTTCCAGCATGTGATCCTGTTGGTGATAGATTAGAATGTTGTTCACAGTGTTTCAGCATGTGATCCTGTTGGTGATAGATTAGAATGTTGTTCACAGTGTTCCAGCATGTTATCCTGTTGGTGATAGATTAGAATGTTATTCACAGTGTTTCAGCATGTGATCCTGTTGGTGATAGATTAGAATGTTGTTCACAGTGTTCCAGCATGTGATCCTGTTGGTGATAGATTAGAATGTTAGAGCATGTGATCCTGTTGGTGATCATTAGAATGTTGTTCAGCATGTGATCCTGTTGGTGATAGATTAGAATGTTGTTCACAGTGTTCAGCAGTGTTCATAGATTAGAATGTTGTTCACAGTGTTCAAGCATGTGATCCTGTTGGTGATAGATCAGAATGTTGTTCACAGTGTTTCAGCATGTGATCCTGTTGGTGATAGATTAGAATGTTGTTCACAGTGTTAAAGCATGTGATCCTGTTGGTGATAGATTAGAATGTTGTTCACAGTGTTTCAGCATGTGATCCTGTTTGTGATAGATTAGAATGTTGTTCACAGTGTTCCAGCATGTGATCCTGTTGGTGATAGATTAGAATGTTGTTCACAGTGTTTCAGCATGTGATCTTGTTGGTGATAGATTAGAATATTGTTTACAGTGTTTCAGCATGTGATCCTGTTGGTGATAGATTATAATGTTCTTCACAGTGTTTCAGCATGTGATCCTGTTGGTGATAGATTTGAATGTTGCTCACAGTGTTTCAGCATGTGATCCTGTTGGTGATAGATTAGAATGTTGTTCACAGTGTTTCAGCATGTGATCCTGTTGGTAATAGATTAGAATGTTGTTCACAGTGTTTCAGCATGTGGATCCTGTTGGTGATAGATTAGAATGTGTTCACAGTGTTTCAGCATGTGATCCTGTTGGTGATAGATTAGAATGTTGTTCACAGTGTTCCAGCATGTGATCCTGTTGGTGATAGATTAGAATGTTGTTCACAGTGTTCCAGCATGTGATCCTGTTGGTGATAGATTAGAATGTTGTTCACAGTGTTTCAGCATGTGATCCTGTTGGTGATAGATTAGAATGTTGTTCACAATGTTCCAGCATGTGATCATGTTGGTGATAGATTAGAATGTTGTTCACAGTGTTCCAGCATGTGATCCTGTTGGTGATAGATTAGAATGTTGTTCACAGTGTTCCAGCATGTGATCCTGTTGGTGATAGATTAGAATGTTGTTCACAGTGTTTCAGCATGTGATCCTGTTGGTGATAGATTAGAATGTTGTTCACAGTGTTTCAGGATGTGATCCTGTTGGTGATAGATTAGAATGTTGTTCACAGTGTTTCAGCATGTGATCCTGTTGGTGATAGATTAGAATGTTGTTCACAGTGTTTCAGCATGTGATCCTGTTGGTGATAGATTAGAATGTTGTTCACAGTGTTTCAGCATGTGATCGTGTTGGTGATAGATTAGAATGTTGTTCACAGTGTTTCAGCATGTGATCCTGTTGGTGATAGATTAGAATGTTGTTCACAGTGTTTCAGCATGTGATCCTGTTGGTGATAGATTAGAATGTTGTTCACAGTGTTTCAGGATGTGATCCTGTTGGTGATAGATTAGAATGTTGTTCACAGTGTTTCAGCATGTGATCCTGTTGGTGATAGATTAGAATGTTGTTCACAGTGTTCCAGCATGTGATCCTGTTGGTGATAGATTAGAATGTTGTTCACAGTGTTCCAGCATGTGATCCTGTTGGTGATAGATTAGAATGTTGTTCACAGTGTTTCAGCATGTGATCCTGTTGGTGATGGATTATTGATTCTGATGATTACCATATAAAAGTATCAGCTAACAAAACCTGAACGCATACAGAATGAAGCCATGAGGGCAATTCTGGGATGTACAAAAGATACCCCGGTAGTGTGCATGTGATATATATACTCGCACTGCTGACTGTTACAGATTGGCTCAAAATGCAGCTAGCTAAGTCACATCTTAGAGTAGTCACAGATAAGAAACACCTTCTGCAAGAAGCTTAAGGTAGAGCTAAGGGTCACAGACTGAAAAGTGGAAGGTCTTGGATGGCACAAACTGAAGACACAATTAGACATGTGTGCAGGCCTGATAACATTAGGCCAGAATGTCCCAGCAAAAGTCAGATTCGTATAGGGTTCTGATCACACTGGGCCATGAATGTCTCAGCACAAGTCAGGATCATCTAGGGTTCTGATCACACTGGGCCATGAATGTCCCAGCACAAGTCAGGATCATCTAGGGTTCTGATCACACTGGGCCATGAATGTCCCAGCACAAGTCAGGATCATCTAGGGTTCTGATCACACTGGGCCATGAATGCAGGGACTGGGCTGTGGGAGCTGCAGTATGAGAGGTTCGACAAATGATTGATGACAATTCTCGCTCAGGTGATGTGATAATCTGCACAGATGGCTCATGTTTTTTTGTTAGCAAAATGGAAATCACATCTCTTAGTGCGACAAAGCCTGGCATATGCCACTGCAACATCTAGTTTGACTAGTTTGGGAATGGAGGTGGAGGCAGTCACTGCAGCTTTCTGTTGGCTTGAGAATTAGCTGTACATACATGTCGTAATTGTAACTATGCTCAGTGAAGAGAGGCAAGCATCACTTCAAAGGTCCCGGGTAGTTAGCGGTCTTTGGATATTTTCCCCAGGATATGCCGGTGTATTAGGAAATGAACAAGCAGATAGACTGTCTAGTTCTGTGCAATTTGGTCATGAACTGATGCATGAAAAGCTAGATGCTGTCAGGGTCCTGTGGGGATGGGGGGGGGGGGGGGGGGGGGGGGGTAAATGAACAGTGCAGAAACACAGACAGATATATCATGGTCTGAAGAGAATGGTTCTGCGAGATCGACTAGGGGATCTGGTCGATGATCAGGACACGAGAGAAAGGTGAGATGGATATACAATTAGTCTGCTATTGGTACCACTGGATTGGGAACTCTGCGCTTGCTGCTGAAGATGGGGATGGAGCGCTTATGGGAATGTCCCGAGTGCTGAGATGTCAAATCTTAACTAAACTTTTAACTTAATTAGAATAACAGCTGTTGTTTTACAACTGGGATCTCTGTTAGGTGAAGTTTATTTATATCCATACGATGTTCTACTTCAACAGACAAATGCTTCGGGTACCTATGACATCGATGGTTCGTTGAAGCGGTCTAACGCCACATTCCTGACTGTCAACGAACTGTCTTGCCCCATACCAGAAAGTGGAACCTACCAGGTCCAGATCAGCAATAATAAAAATGTGTTCAGCAGTTCAGCATACCTTTTTGTCTATGACTCATTGTGCTTTGAGTGTAATGTCAAGAACCAGACGTGCATCCAGAAGGTATTGATTATTCACCAGTGTAAAACTCTGTGTGAACAATCCATTAATTCACAAATTATCTTAAGAAGTCAGACTACTTTTCGAATATCCATAAATCTGGTCACCTGTTGAGAATAAGTTGTGAACAAATGTGAATATACTAATGTTAGAAAACTTGTGGTGAATATCAGTTTACAGCATTTAACTTTACCCATTCTGCTGTCTTGCCACCTATACATGCACTTCAAAAGAAATATCACAGTTTGTCAAAAATCAGAACAAACTTGTGCATGTGTCCTGGTTCTTTGTCTACTTCTTCATGTTCACTGGCTGTAAACTCTGATGGAAAGTAGTGGTTGTTTGTTGTCACAGACCTCGGGGTGACCTTGATGGTCCGTGGCTCGTAACTGGGCCTATGACAGACAAACTAACCTTCAACACACACAGAGCACACACGACAATCTTTATTGCAAGTACAGGTAATACAATAGACAGTTGACTTCCCGCTGTGTGGCCACCTATTGCCTGGACCCTCTGGCCGAACAAGCTTTACAATCGCCTCGCTCTCCAGTCCGTTCCACAAGCAATCTCCTGGTGCACAAACCACAGCTAGGCAAGATACGTTCTTTTCTATCGTCACGCTGACCTACCAAGATGTCACCGCCTCTGTCTAGTGCAGGGTCAGCGTGACAAGGTTAGACATTCTCTCACAGAACATGTACCCAACCGATTTAACTGGTCAGAAGAACTGGACACTAGTTACCTAATGTGGCACAACACAATACCTTGTACCAGTTAAATACACAGCACAAAAGACTATCCTATTCTAACAGAACACTATAAATACTCTATGCAGTCACCAAAGAAATATCCTAACTCTAATATACTATCACTGTCTCGCTAACATGTCTGCTCGGTCCGAACACTGTACCTTCAATTCCCCTGTGTTCTTTCACCTCGTGTCTTCTGACCCGTTCATCTGCCCCTGGGGTAATCGTGTTGCGAACTCGTTTGCACTCTTTCCCGTCATCCTCAATTGGTCTCCACTGAGCGATAGTTTCACCGTGAACAGCACAGACTAGGCTTATCATGGCATTGACCTTTGTGTCAACCCTGGGGTGTCACCTGAACTCGGTACACCCTACGGTGTGGTCCTTTCCGCCACTGACTGTACTCACAGGGTTGTGACATTTGTCCACTTCTTCATGTTCACTGGCTGTAAACTCTGATGGAAAGTCCTGGTTGTTTGTCTACTTCTTCCTGTTTACTGGCTGTAAACTGTGATGGAAAGTAGTGGTGGTTTGTCCACTTCTTCATGTTCACTGGCTGTAAACTCTGATGGAAAGTAGTGGTGGTTTGTCCACTTCTTCATGTTCACTGGCTGTAAACTCTGATGGAAAGTAGTGGTGGTTTGTCCACTTCTTCATGTTCACTGGCTGTAAACTCTGATGGAAAGTCCTGGTTGTTTGTCCACTTCTTCCTGTTTACTGGCTGTAAACTGTGATGGAAATTAGTGGTGGTTTGTCCACTTCTTCATGTTCACTAGCTGTAAACTCTGATGGAAAGTTCTGGTTATTTGTCCACTTCTTCATGTTCACTGGCTGTAAACTTTGATGGAATGTAGTGGTGGTTTGTCCACTTCTTCATGTTCACTGGCTGTAAACTTTGATGGAATGTAATGGTGGTTTGTCCACTTCTTCATGTTCACTGGCTGTAAACTCTGATGGAAAGTCCTGGTTGTTTGTCCACTTCTTCATGTTCACTGGCTGTAAACTGTGATGGAAAGTAGTGGTGGTTTGTCCACTTCTTCATGTTCACTGGCTGTAAACTCTGATGGAAAGTCCTGGTTGTTTGTCCACTTCTTCCTGTTTACTGGCTGTAAACTTTGATGGAAAGTAGTGGTGGTTTGTCCACTTCTTCATGTTCACTAGCTGTAATCTCTGATGGAAAGTCCTGGTTGTTTGTCCACTTCTTCATGTTCACTGGCTGTAAACTCTGATGGAAAGTAGTGGTGGTTTGTCCACTTCTTCATGTTCACTGGCTGTAAACTTTGATGGAAAGTAGTGGTGGTTTGTCCACTTCTTCATGTTCACTGGCTGTAAACTCTGATGGAAAGTAGTTATGGTTTGTCCACTTCTTCATGTTCACTGGCTGTAAACTCTGATGGAAAGTCCTGGTTATTTGTCCGCTTCTTCATGTTCACTGGCTGTAAACTCTGATGGAAAGTCCTAGTTGTTTGTTCACTTCTTCATGTTCACTGGCTGTAAACTCTGATGGAAGGTCCTGGTTATTTGTCCACTTCTTCATGTTCACTGGCTGTAAACTCTGATGGAAAGTCCTGGTTATTTGTCCACTTCTTCATGTTCACTGGCTGTAAACTCTGATGGAAAGTAGTGTTGGTTTGTCCTATTCTTCATGTTCACTGGCTGTAAACTCTGATGGAAAGTTCTGGTTGTTTGTCCACTTCTTCATGTTCACTGGCTGTAAACTCTGATGGAAAGTCCTGGTTGTTTGTCCACTTCTTCATGTTTACTGGCTGTAAACTTTGATGGAAAGTAATGGTGGTTTGTCCACTTCTTCATGTTAACTGGCTGTAAACTCTGATGGAAAGTAGTGGTTATTTGTCCACTTCTTCATGTTCACTGGCTGTAAACTCTGATAAAATGAAGTGGTGGTTTGTCCACTTCTTCATGTTCACTGGCTGTAAACTCTGATGGAAAGTCCTGGTTATTTGTCAACTTCTTAATGTTCACTGGCTGTAAACGCTGATGGAAAGTCCTAGTTATTTATCCACTTCTTCATGTTCACTGGCTATAAACGCTGATGGAAAGTCCTGGTTATTTGTTCACTTCTTCATGTTCACTTGCTATAAATGCTGATGGAAAGTCCTGCTTGTTTGTTTACTTCTTCATGTTCACTGGCTGTAAACTTTGATAGAAAGTAATGGTTGTTTGTCCACTTCTTCATGTTCACTGGCTGTAAACTTTGATAAACTGTAGTGGTGGTTTGTCCACTTCTTCATGTTCACTGGCTGTAAACTTTGATAAACTGTAGTGGTGGTTTGTCCACTTCTTCATGTTCACTGGCTGTAAACTTTGATAAACTGTAGTGGTGGTTTGTCCACTTCTTCATGTTCACTGGCTGTAAACTTTGATAAACTGTAGTGGTGGTTTGTCCACTTCTTCATGTTCACTGGCTGTAAACTCTGATGGAAAGTCCTGGTTGTTTGTCTACTTCTTCCTGTTTACTGGCTGTAAACTTTGATGGAAAGTAGTGGTGGTTTGTCCACTTTTTCATGTTCACTGGCTGTAAACTCTGATGGAAAGTCCTGGTGGTTTGTCCACTTCTTCATGTTCACTGGCTGTAAACTCTAATGGAAAGTCCTGGTTGTTTGTCCACTTCTTCAAGTTCACTGGCTGTAAACTTTGATGGAAAGTCCTGGTTGTTTGTCCACTTCTTCATGTTCACTGGCTGTAAACTCTGATGGAAAGTAGTGGTTATTTGTCCACTTCTTCATGTTCACTGGCTGTAAACTTTGATGGAATGTAGTGGTGGTTTGTCCACTTCTTCATGTTCACTGGCTGTAAACTTTGATGGAATGTAATGGTGGTTTGTCCACTTCTTCATGTTCACTGGCTGTAAACTCTGATGGAAAGTAGTGGTGGTTTGTCCACTTCTTCATGTTCACTGGCTGTAAACTCTGATGGAAAGTCCTGGTTGTTTGTCTACTTCTTCCTGTTTACTGGCTGTAAACTTTGATGTAAAGTAGTGGTGGTTTGTCCACTTCTTTATGTTCACTGGCTGTAAAAGTTGATGGAAAGTAGTGGTGGTTTGTCCACTTCTTCATGTTCACTAGCTGTAAACTTTGATGGAATGTAGTGGTGGTTTGTCCACTTCTTCATGTTCACTGGCTGTAAACTCTGATGGAAAGTAGTGGTGGTTTGTCCACTTCTTCATGTTCACTGGCTGTAAACTCTGATGGAAAGTCCTGGCTGTTTGTCTACTTCTTCCTGTTTACTAGCTGTAAACTTTGATGGAAAGTAGTGGTGGTTTGTCCACTTCTTCATGTTCACTAGCTGTAAACTCTGATGGAAAGTCCTATTTGTTTGTCCGCTTCTTCATGTTCACTGGCTGTAAACTCTGATGGAAAGTAGTGGTGGTTTGTCCACTTCTTCATGTTCACTGGCTGTAAACTTTGATAGAAAGTAGTGGTGGTTTGTCCACTTCTTCATGTTCACTGGCTGTAAACTCTGATGGAAAGTAGTGGTGGTTTGTCCACTTCATCATGTTCACTGGCTGTAAACTCTGATGGAAAGTAGTGGTAGTTTGTCCACTTCTTCATGTTCACTGGCTGTAAACTCTGAGGGAAAGCCCTGGTTATTTGTCCACTTCTTCATGTTCACTGGCTGTAAACTCTGATGGAAAGTCCTGGTTGTTTGTCCACTTCTTCATGTTCACTGGCTGTAAACTCTGATGGAAAGTAGTGTTGGTTTGTCCACTTCTTCATGTTCACTGGCTGTAAACTCTGATGGAAAGTCCTGGTTGTTTGTCTACTTCTTCCTGTTTACTGGCTGTAAACTTTGATGGAAAGTAATGGTGGTTTGTCCACTTCTTCATGTTAACTGGCTGTAAACTCTGATGGAAAGTAGTGGTTATTTGTCCACTTCTTCATGTTCACTGGCTGTAAACTCTGATAAAATGAAGTGGTGGTTTGTCCACTTCTTCATGTTCACTGGCTGTAAACTCTGATGGAAAGTCCTGGTTATTTGTCAACTTCTTAATGTTCACTGGCTGTAAACGCTGATGGAAAGTCCTAGTTATTTATCCACTTCTTCATGTTCACTGGCTATAAACGCTGATGGAAAGTCCTGGTTATTTGTTCACTTCTTCATGTTCACTTGCTATAAATGCTGATGGAAAGTCCTGCTTGTTTGTTTACTTCTTCATGTTCACTGGCTGTAAACTTTGATAGAAAGTAATGGTTGTTTGTCCACTTCTTCATGTTCACTGGCTGTAAACTTTGATAAACTGTAGTGGTGGTTTGTCCACTTCTTCATGTTCACTGGCTGTAAACTTTGATAAACTGTAGTGGTAGTTTGTCCACTTCTTCATGTTCACTGGCTGTAAACTTTGATAAACTGTAGTGGTGGTTTGTCCACTTCTTCATGTTCACTGGCTGTAAACTTTGATAAACTGTAGTGGTGGTTTGTCCACTTCTTCATGTTCACTGGCTGTAAACTCTGATGGAAAGTCCTGGTTGTTTGTCTACTTCTTCCTGTTTACTGGCTGTAAACTTTGATGGAAAGTAGTGGTGGTTTGTCCACTTTTTCATGTTCACTGGCTGTAAACTCTGATGGAAAGTCCTGGTGGTTTGTCCACTTCTTCATGTTCACTGGCTGTAAACTCTAATGGAAAGTCCTGGTTGTTTGTCCACTTCTTCAAGTTCACTGGCTGTAAACTTTGATGGAAAGTCCTGGTTGTTTGTCCACTTCTTCATGTTCACTGGCTGTAAACTCTGATGGAAAGTAGTGGTTATTTGTCCACTTCTTCATGTTCACTGGCTGTAAACTTTGATGGAATGTAGTGGTGGTTTGTCCACTTCTTCATGTTCACTGGCTGTAAACTTTGATGGAATGTAATGGTGGTTTGTCCACTTCTTCATGTTCACTGGCTGTAAACTCTGATGGAAAGTAGTGGTGGTTTGTCCACTTCTTCATGTTCACTGGCTGTAAACTCTGATGGAAAGTCCTGGTTGTTTGTCTACTTCTTCCTGTTTACTGGCTGTAAACTTTGATGTAAAGTAGTGGTGGTTTGTCCACTTCTTTATGTTCACTGGCTGTAAAAGTTGATGGAAAGTAGTGGTGGTTTGTCCACTTCTTCATGTTCACTAGCTGTAAACTTTGATGGAATGTAGTGGTGGTTTGTCCACTTCTTCATGTTCACTGGCTGTAAACTCTGATGGAATGTAGTGGTGGTTTGTCCACTTCTTCATGTTCACTGGCTGTAAACTCTGATGGAAAGTCCTGGTTGTTTGTCTACTTCTTCCTGTTTACTAGCTGTAAACTTTGATAGAAAGTAGTGGTGGTTTGTCCACTTCTTCATGTTCACTGGCTGTAAACTCTAATGGAAAGTCCTGGTTGTTTGACCACTTCTTCATGTTCACTGGCTGTAAACTCTGATGGAAAGTCCTGGTTGTTTGTCTACTTCTTCTTGTTTACTAGCTGTAAACTTTGATAGAAAGTAGTGGTGGTTTGTCCACTTCTTCATGTTCACTGGCTGTAAACTCTGATAGAAAGTAGTGGTAGTTTGTCCACTTCTTCATGTTCACTGGCTGTAAACTCTGATGGAAAGTCCTGGTTGTTTGTCCACTTCTTCATGTTCACTGGCTGTAAACTCTGATGGAAAGTAGTGGTAGTTTGTCCACTTCTTCATGTTCACTGGCTGTAAACTGTGATGGAAAGTCCTGGTTGTTTGTCCACTTCTTCATGTTCACTGGCTGTAAACTTTGATGGAAAGTAGTGGTAATTTGTCCACTTCTTCATGTTCACTCGCTGTAAACTCTGATAAAATGTAGTGGTGGTTTGTCCACTTCTTCCTGTTTACTGGCTGTAAACTTTGATGGAAAGTAGTGGTGGTTTGTCCACTTCTCAATGTTCACTGGCTGTAAATTTTGATGGAAAGTAGTGGTGGGTTGTCCACTTCTTCATGTTCACTGGCTGTAAACTCTGATGGAAAGTCCTAGTTGTTTGTCCACTTCTTCATGTTCACTGGCTGTAAACTCTGATGGAAAGTCCTGGTTGTTTGTCCACTTCTTCATGTTCACTGGCTGTAAACTCTAATGGAAAGTCCTGGTTGTTTGTCCACTTCTTCATGTTCACTGGCTGTAAACTCTGATGGAAAGTAGTGGTTGTTTGTCCACTTCTTCATGTTCACTGGCTGTAAACTCTGATAGAAAGTCCTGGTTGTTTGTCCACTTCTTCATGTTTACTGGCTGTAAACTGATGGAAAGTCCTGGTTGTTTGTTCACTTCTTCATGTTCTTCTTCTTCTTCTTCTTCTTCTCTTCAACCTTGTACCTCATCGAAGTGTCGGGGAGAGATGTAATGTTCGTTGATGAGCTCTGTCAAGAGCACTATTAAGACTGATGTTCAATTCTGTAAGGCTGTTCCTATTGCCATCACTCCATCTTTCCGAGGGCTTCCACTCGCTCTATACCCGTTGTAACATTTTAGTGTGGCCAGCTGTGGCGGATAGTACCAGGGCATTCTTGTTAGGTGTCCAAACCACTTCATTTGTTGTTCTTTGATGACCTGTAAGACTGGCTTTATTCCTAGCATTCGTCTGATTTCATGATTTCGTATTCTGTCTTTCCTTGAAACTCCTGCAGCTCTTCTAAGGCATTTTATCTCTGTTGTCACAATTTTACATTAATTGGAGGATGTAAGTGTCCACGTTTGGCATTGATAGCATAGTGTTGGCCAAAAAATAGTTCTGATAAGATTCACTTTAGTACTCCAAGGTATCTGCTTGTGTGTCAACAGGTGAGATAGTTGACCCATTACTTAATTAGCTATGGCACGTTCAGTGGATGTAAACTCTGATGGAAAGTAGTGGTTGTTTGTCCACTTCTTGATGTTCACTGGCTATAAACTCTGATGGAAAGTAGTGGTTGTTTGTCCACTTCAGCACTTAGAAGACAAGCTGTAGACAAATGGAGACCAAACAAATCTTGGATATCTGCAGTTCACGCTTTGTTTTTATGATATTTGTCTAGAAATTTTTCAAAATATTCAGAATCTGACATGTAAAGTTATTTCAGAAACACAAACGTTTCCATTGGTATACAGGCAGAGGAAGGAACATATTATCACCATGGTTACCTGTTAGCCCATGGGTAATATATTTGAGTCTTCTTGAGTGTGGGGATTTGATTCACACTGGTCTTAGTTTTCCTGTTATCCTAGTCTAAAAATGGCTACAAGGAAATTTTCTAGGTAGCAAAAGTGTCTTGTTTGAGAAGGGAGTCCTTGACTGATTTAATTGTACTCAGTCTCCGATTGAATGAAATAATCAGCAAATGAAATTAAAAATGAATAAATGAATGTGTGGATCATGAATGTTGAAATGAAAGACTAGATTGATAAAGGAATAAATGAATGAATTGATAAATAAATGAATGATAAAATAATGAATGGATTTATGTATGAACAAATAAATACAAGAATGCATGCATTAAGGAATGAATGAGTAAATGCAAGAATGAATGCAAGATAATGCCAAACTTCCCTTTGTGGCATGACCTGATGAAAAAGATGGGCACAAGAGACAATCATTAACCCAGGGGACAAAGATGGTCACAAGAGACAGACATTAACCCAGAGGACAAAGATGGACACAAGGGATGAAGACTGATATAGAAGACAAACATTGACACAGGAGACAATCCTTGACATAGGAGACAAAGATATCCACAAAAGATGAACATTGCCAGTGTAGGCAAAGATGGACACAAGATGCAGAAATCGACCCAGGAGACAAAAATGGACACACAAAAACAGGCAGTGACACAGAAGCCAAGCATTGACACGCAAATGTTTAGTAGTCCTAGCAACTCTCAAATACACCAACACTTTGAACAAATTGAACCTCTTGTAGAGACATTGCTAAAACAACAACAGCCAAGGGGAAGACTTGTCTGCTTCTATAAGAAAGTCCTGTTTCCTTTAGTTTAAACATTTTCTGCCTACAAGTTGCTGTTGTTTGAACTGTGAGGTTGATGTAACAAGTCATTGATATTTGTATGTATCCCCATTGAATCAGAAAACGGCTTGCCTTATTGATGGCGTCTGCTATGAGAACAGAGAATACAACCCTTCGTCAGCATGGCAATATTGTGACCCCTCAGTTAATACAAGTTCTTGGCAAACAGCAAATGGTAGGCCCATGTTATCAGTGTTAACAATTAGTTCATAATTATCATCATCAACATTACCATTAGCATTGGCATCATCATCATCATCATCATCATCATCACTATCATAATCAACATCATCATCAGTATCATCATCATCACCATCATCACCATCATCATTATCATCATCAACATCACCATTAGCATTGGCATCATCATCATCATCATCATCATCATCATCATCATCAACATCATCATTATCAACATCATCATCATCATCATCATCATCATCATCATTATCAACATCATCATCATCATAAACAAGTACTTCAGGCCCAGAGTTGGTCATAAGGTTTTGTAACCATTCCATTTGAGTTGCTGCCTTGTGCCGGCAACTTGAAGCTATTACAAAATCTGACTGTTGGTACAGTCAGAGCTATGAGGATCAACTACATTACACCAGGTTTGATCCAGTGTGAATTGGCCTGGCTCTGTAGAATGATCAGCTGTTTTGCCAAGAGTATCACATACACAGTATGAACTTCATAGCTTTAACAACATTCTCAGGGGATTTGAATCTGGAATGTTGAGGAATTGAACCCACATCAATCACAGACCCCTCTTATGAAAAACATCCTCGAACACAGCCAGCCTGACCCCCCACATGCTGGTATGAATCTTAGTCAGTACTGTTACTTGTATACATTTTATCATTTGCAACTTCTGTCTTCGAAGATTCTTGCCAAGGTTTGGAGTTATTATGGCTGGAACATGAAGGCCACCTGTCTGGAGGAGAGTTACCAGGAGCTGGAGATAAAGAAGCTTGCAAGCGCAGATGTCTCAACATGTTCAGGGACGGTACTGGTCAGTGCTACTCTATCGATTTCAACTCAACCAGCAGCAGCTGCAGTTACCACACATTAGATGAGAGAATCACTGCCGACAACCTCATCAGGGACAACCAGGTCTCAAACCTGGAGTGGATCTGTGAAAACAGTGAGCAGTTGTTTATCACTGAGTTCTGTGTTGTTTGTTATCAAAAGGAAATAATAATGTATGCTTCATGCTATCATCGGATTGCCGCGTGACTTAGACATCTCCAATCACATAGGTGATGCAGACATCTCCAATCACATAGGTGATGCAGACATTTCCAATCACATAGGTGATGCAGACATCTCCAATCACATAGGTGATGCAGACATCACCAATCACATAGGGGATGCAGACATCTCCAATCACATAGGTGATGCAGACATCTCCAATCACATAGGTGATGCAGACATCTCCAATCACATAGGGGATGCAGACATCTCCAATCACATAGGGGATGCAGACATCTCCAATCACATAGGGGATGCAGACATCTCCAATCACATAGGTGATGCAGACATCTCCAATCACATAGGTGATGCAGACATCTCCAATCACATAGGTGATGCAGACATCTCCAATCACATAGGGGATGCAGACATCTCCAATCACATAGGTGATGCAGACATCTCCAATCACATAGGGGATGCAGACATCTCCAATCACATAGGTGATGCAGACATTTCCCATTAAAGGATACATTCTCCTGTTAATCAGCAAAGCTCCACATATTAATTAATGTTAAGTGTGTATTTGATATCTGACAACCAAGGTCCACATATTAATGTTAAGTGTGTATTTGATATCTGACAACCAAGGTTCACATATTAATTAATGTTAAGTGTGTATTTGATATCTGACAACCAAGGTCCACATATTAATGTTAAGTGTGTATTTGATATCTGACAACCAAGGTTCACATATTAATGTTGAGTTTGTATTTGATATCTGACAACCAAGGTTCACATATTAATGTTGAGTTTGTATTTGATAGCTGACAACCAAGGTCCACATATTAATGTTGAGTTTGTATTTGATATCTGACAACCAAGGTCCACATATTAATGTTGAGTTTGTATTTGATATCTGACAACCAAGGTCCACATATTAATGTTGAGTTTGTATTTGATATCTGACAACCAAGGTTCACATATTAATGTTGAGTTTGTTTTTGATATCTGACAACCAAGGTCCACATATTAATGTTGAGTTTGTATTTGATATCTGACAACCAAGTTTAATATATTTAGAAGTCTAGACCACCACAATGTGTGTATGGCATTATTAGCAACAGCTTGTTTCATTGTTTATTAGCAACAGCTTGTTTCATTGTTTATTAGCAACAGCTTGTTTTTATTGTTTATTAGCAACAGCTTGTTTCATTATTTATTAGCAACAGCTTGTTTCATTATTTATTAGCAACAGCTTGTTTCATTGTTTATTAGCAACAGCTTGTTTTTATTGTTTATTAGCAACAGCTTGTTTCATTATTTATTAGCAACAGCTTGTTTCATTATTTATTAGCAACAGCTTGTTTCATTATTTATTAGCAACAGCTTGTTTCATTATTTATTAGCAACAGCTTGTTTCATTGTTTATTAGCAACAGCTTGTTTCATTGTTTATTAGCAACAGCTTGTTTTTATTGTTTATTAGCAACAGCTTGTTTCATTGTTTATTAGCAACAGCTTGTTTCATTGTTTATTAGCAACAGCTTGTTTCATTGTTTATTAGCAACAGCTTGTTTCATTATTTATTAGCAACAGCTTGTTTCATTATTTATTAGCAACAGCTTGTTTCATTATTTATTAGCAACAGCTTGTTTCATTGTTTATTAGCAACAGCTTGTTTCATTGTTTATTAGCAACAGCTTGTTTCATTATTTATTAGCAACAGCTTGTTTCATTGTTTATTAGCAACAGCTTGTTTCATTATTTATTAGCAACTGCTTGTTTCATTATTTATTAGCAACAGCTTGTTTCATTGTTTATTAGCAACAGCTTGTTTCATTATTTATTAGCAACAGCTTGTTTCATTGTTTATTAGCAACAGTTTGTTTCATTATTTATTAGCAACAGCTTGTTTCATTATTTATTAGCAACAGCTTGTTTCATTGTTTATTAGCAACAGCTTGTTTCATTATTTATTAGCAACAGCTTGTTTCATTATTTATTAGCAACAGCTTGTTTCATTATTTATTAGCAACAGCTTGTTTCATTATTTATTAGCAACAGCTTGTTTCATTGTTTATTAGCAACAGCTTGTTTCATTATTTATTAGCAATAGCTTGTTTCATTATTTATTAGCAACAGCTTGTTTTTATTGTTTATTAGCAACAGCTTGTTTCATTGTTTATTAGCAACAGCTTGTTTCATTGTTTATTAGCAACAGCTTGTTTCATTATTTATTAGCAACAGCTTGTTTCATTATTTATTAGCAACAGCTTGTTTCATTATTTATTAGCAACAGCTTGTTTCATTGTTTATTAGCAACAGCTTGTTTCATTATTTATTAGCAACAGCTTGTTTCATTATTTATTAGCAACAGCTTGTTTCAACAGCTTATTTCATTTATTAGCAACTGCTTGTTTCATTATTTATTAGCAACAGCTTGTTTCATTATTTATTAGCAACAGCTTGTTTCATTATTTATTAGCAACAGCTTGTTTCATTATTTATTAGCAACAGCTTGTTTCATTATTTATTAGCAACAGCTTGTTTCATTATTTATTAGCAACTGCTTGTTTCATTATTTATTAGCAACAGCTTGTTTCATTATTTATTAGCAACAGCTTGTTTCATTATTTATTAGCAACAGCTTGTTTCATTGTTTATTAGCAACAGCTTGTTTCATTGTTTATTAGCAACAGCTTGTTTCATTGTTTATTAGCAACAGCTTGTTTTTATTGTTTATTAGCTAGTTCCTTCAGCTGGTCTTCAGTACACCTTCTAATGTCATCATAGCTTATACCATCTGAACCTGGTGCACTGTTTTTTGTTTGTCGTAGCACAGCCTTGATCTCATCAACTGTCACTATGTCTTCTTCAGCAATTTTCTGGGACTTACACCTTTTGTCGGTCCTCTGCCATGTGAGGTCAGCAATCTGAAAGCGAGGAATTCTCTTGTTTTTTATAGCACTGATCATTCTTTGACAGACTTAGCCCACATTAATTTCCCTTTATAAAAATGGCAGAGGGATGGGTGTACAAGAGAGGCAATAGAGAATGTAATATACTTCTAATCCTAAAAAAAGTATGTTGGAAAAAAAGTATGTTTTTTTTTATAGAAATAAATGCACATTTTGAATCTGATAATTCAACAGGTGTTAATTTCACAACAACAACATTTTACAAACAAATTCTTCACTCACCATAATTGTGCAGCCACACGAGTAGTGAATATCCAAATTTGAGAACAAAACTTCAAAGTTTGTTCAATTTTCTAACAAATTCTAAAGTTATGATACGTTTCTGGGTTAGTTTAGCACTCAGGGGCTCTTAGTTAGCACAGAGTGCTGAGCAAAATTTCAGAGAAAAAATGGCAGAAAAATTAGCCATTACACACACGCTATTTACTATTTACAGTTATATACAGACTGTAACTGCAATAATTTCAATGTAACTTAGTCATAGTTTATTAAAATCTCTTTGTTTAGAGCACTTTCCTTCTCTTACAAAATAAATAGGGTAGCAATGGGACATTGTCTGTGTAATAAACTCGTCAGAATAGCTAGATTCTGAACAGTTGATTGCTGGTGAAAAGCCACCGTCTGAATCACTTTCA